CACAGAAGAATGTGTCAGCTGAATAACTGCTGACAAAAGTGCCATTCTTGTGCTATTTATGATTTCTTTAATTATACTAAACAAGCCAGTCAACCAGCTAATTCATAAATAAATATTGCCTTTTTTAAGCATACAGCATACTGACAATTTACTGATAAATACTGTTATTCAAAAAAAATGTGCCAGTAGACAAAAAAAGGAAGGAATACCTACATGGCATTGTGTGGTAGATGCTGGGCCAGTACTGACCACTGTCTCTCTTCAACCATACCCGAATAGTCCTGTGGGATGAAACCAACAGAGATTAGTCCTCAATGCATTGAGTTACATTCTTGGTGTCAACTTTGTTACACTGCAGGTAATCAACTCAATTGCCAGAATTTCTGAGAAAACAGAAATATGTGTGACGTATTCGTAGGTTTCACTACCACTGATAAGGAAATCAGCCTGTTCTCCAGCACTCCGGGGGGCCACAAGCAGATCCAACTGCCACTTCCACCAGAGGAAGTACTGACATTTCCCCCAAAAGGATACATGCATTCATTATCCCCAAAATATCATGACCACCCATCCTTAAAATGCTGCTTAAACCTCACCAGATCCATTAACTCCGGTAAGTTGCACCTGCTGCATATCAGACTTCATCCTGTCACTGGTTTGTGGTTTGACTCTTGTCAGCCCAGTGTTAGTAGGCCTCTCACAAGGAAGAGGTGCTAACTTAGTTATCTGACCACAAAAATCTGGATCTTATCAGACTTGCTCAGGTCTTTACACCTGACAGTCTGCACAGCCCAGATATGAGACAAACAATGGTTCTAATGTTTTGTCTCTGCTGTGAATGCAGGTAAAAACTTTCCCCTGTGACACTGAACAACAGCCCGAGTTCCGAGATGACTGACAATCAACTCACTGACCTACTTTGAATTTTTACTACACCACTCAACACTTCAATTTACAGCAATTATTCTTCACTGTTCTCTTTAGGGGTGACATATACTTCTGGGTGAAATGTAATGGGAATAAAATCATCTGTGCTTTAAACTCAATCACAGAATCCACTGAAAGGCTCATTTCCCACGCAAATCCACATGGCCACTGGCACAAAGACTTAAGACACTTCTATTTCACCACCTCCTTTTCCATTTCGGTGGGTACTTAAACGCGGTTTGTTCTAGCAAATTCCATATATCTTATTTTAAGCATTTCCCCTGCTTAAACACCCCAGTAAATAGCCATCTAGGACTACAATAGGTAAGTCGCCATGGATCAGGGATATGCATCATATAGCTTAGGTGGCATATAGGACTAAATTTGCAATTGGTGCAATAAGTTACAAGGACATTTCAGAACATGCCGCCTCAGCATATACAGGCTCACCGTCACCCTCACATAGATCTAAGTGGGATAGACGCAAACTCTTGGTACCCCAAAACAGCTCCAGGCATGTGCAACAGAGAATAAGGGGACAGACTACAGCAGCTTTAATGCCTCAAAGCTGAGACATTCTGGTATATATAGCAACTCCTGGTGCCATAATATGCGAGAAACACTCTAATAACACCAGTGTTTACGCTGAGTCTTTTTTTAGTTATGTCTAGCTAACGTTAGCACAACTAAACTACGTGTTACTGGCTTGGAGCTAACACAAAAAGAGTATAATTTACAGCCGTTAACTAGCATGTAATGGTGTGACTGTGTCAGCTGACACTTTTGTAAAAATGTTATTGAACCCTTGGACTGTTTCAACATGTTTGGAAACGTTACATGACACGGGGGTGGGGGTCCACTCAATAGGAGCAGATTAAGGGGCATTATTGTGTCGAATATTATTTCTGGAGGTTAATTTGTGCTTTAGCCAGCCTGCAGAGCGCAGCTTACCTGTCTTCAGACACGCTGATAACGCCGTCTTCTTTGGGAATTATCACCGCTGTGCTCACCACCTCCTGGAAAGCATCGATTTTGCTCAGGAGGCAAGGCTTCCGAGCCTGAGGTTGAGGCTGAATTTCAGCCGCCATGAGCTGGTGGTGCACAAACCTCCGACTACGGTCCTGGCTCCGAGAAACATAACACACGGCGGTCCGACAGCAGAACCTCGGCTGCTAGCTAGCTGTCAGGCAGGCAGCTCTCTGTTGTGACGGCGGTCAGAGGCGGTGCCAGTCAGCTGACAACAGATACGCCACCTACACTCGCACACATACAGCACTTCCTTTGAACAAAATAAAAGTCCTTAGTTGAGTTCCGCTTTTGGATTTTCACAACAAAATATGATAGATATTAGATAGATATGCTTTAATTAAAATATAAAACGATACGATAACAATATCTCAAGTCTTGTAAGCAAAAATAATAAAGTAATATCAACAAAACGTTTTCTAATGAGGCCCTCTGCAAAGTGTGGCTACACTACGTCTGCCATACAAGAAAGAGTTAATCATTTTGAAGCAAAAAAAAGCAAAGAAATCAGTTTTAATTGGCCGTAATGAAATATAGAGCAAATACTGTTATGTTAAAAAGTGCAAATTATGACATGTCAATTTCCCTTTACCAAAGGTTTATAAAATGTGACAGATGTCTTTATTAAAGGGGTGCCACAGTGAGGTCGACAAAAGACGTTATCCCGACTTTTAGACACCTCTATTGGCTCAGGGTGAGCTATACTTTATTATTAGTTGCATTAATTTCCATAATGCGACTTTCTTCAAACTAGTTTTGTATTTTTTATACGCCATAGATATGGTACTATATGTATAATGTTATTGATTACTATAAATAGCCAGTTTGGACATGAGTAGAGATAATCTTGATGACTGAACTGGACTTTAGAAATAAAACCAGATTAATAGTTGGGTCACTGATAACTTCAGAGAAGAAAAACTCTACCAACATTACTTTTTTCACGAACCACTTACTTTCCAGGAAAGAGCTGCTGGACTGCCTAGATCAAAAATGCAATTATAGGTCGTTTATTAGAACCTCATTATATACTCATAACACTAAATCTACAACTTTCTAAAATCTATTGAGTGGAAGGCTATACCACATTTCCAGTTGCATTTAATAATAATGTCAATGATAATAATAATAATAATCGTATATCTAACTATCTAAGGTGATGCGTTTGGATTTTAACATGCAGCACTAATACTAATAGAGCAACAACTTCCTGTATGAAGCAGCTCAGACATGGACCGGAAATTTGTGTTTGGCTTGTCCAAGTAACTTCACATATGTTCTTGACTCACCATAAATTGTGATCAAGATTCCTTCATAGTAAAAATGCAGCATTTCCGGTTCTGACTTTCGTAGTACAAACTATGGAGGGGGGGGTGAGAGACTTTCATAAGTGGAGAATTACCACTACCCTAATAATCAATATCCATTATGTTTGGAAATGACGCTTTGTGCTAAAATCAACCAACACAAGAATGTGTTATATATAATATATAAGTCTGGGAAACTGTTTCGGAGAAGCAGTAAAACCTGTAATATAACAGTTGCACAAGAATGTGTGTTTTAAGTGTACACTTAATACATTTTTAGTTACATAATCTTTGAGCAAATGAAAAAACACTGCAATAGTGGGATGACAAAAAGAAAGTTGAGTCAGTTAAACCTGCATCATAGTTGAGTGTTTTGATTGTTACATTTTAAACTTGAAAGTTAAGAGACCCAGAATTGCGAAAGAGGAAGAATGAATGAATGAATCTGTGGAAAGTTAATTAATCCGTCAAATAACAAAGTCAGAGAGGCCCAAACAGAACAGAAGTATCTCAGATTGGTGCTTAACCGGTTACTGTGCTGCTGTGCAAGCTACAATAAATAGCTGGTTTATAATGGCAATAAATGTTATTGCAGCTGCAACTACAGTTTATCACACCTTCCACAGTTTCGTCGTTAAGATCGCCAAACCACATTAAAGATTTTATTGTGAAAAACGTCAGTGACACACCGGAAGATAAATTGTGTGTGTGTGTGTGCGCGCGCGCGCGTGTTGCTTCACATCAAATAAGAAGCACACAGACGTTCCTCCGCTTTGCTATCGCAAGCCACCGGATGGTTTCGTCTTGTTTTTGCGGAAGTGATGATATTTTCCAGTCAACTACATTATGTAAATTGTATTGCACAATCGTGCGCGTGTGGCTGGGTGTCATGTAGCATTAAGAGTGAACTCTAATCTGTCAAAAGGCTTATGTGTAGCACGTTTGATGATATTCTCTGTGCAGTAACAGTTGAGGCATTATCTCACATAACTACAGATCAACAATAGCAACGCTAGAAGTGTGATTCTTATTAGCGACATCTCTCTTTGTGTTTGTTTGATTGTTTCTGTGTCTTTTTCTTTCCTTTTACCTGCAAGTATGTCGTTCTTTGGCTATGGAAAATAAAGACAAAGTACAGACATTTCAGAGCTGCAGGGTGTGTGAGTGCGTGTGCGCGCATGTCAATCCCAGCGACTATTCAGCTAAACCTGTTTTCCTTCAGAGAAAAGGGGAGTCTTTATTTGGTCATCACATGAAAACCGAGTGCCATAACACCCGCGAGTAGTTTCTGTTTGCCCTAGGTGCATTCCTTGGTTGATATTTTACAGTTGTTTTTATATGATAGTGCCTCCAGTTTATCTCTCTATAGTCTTGAAGGGTTATCTTTCACACTAGCCCACGCCCGCGCATAGGATGAAGTAAATGTTGATTATGTAATCAGATCTAAGAGCAGACACATGCCTGTTCCTAAATAACAACACCTCAACAAACTGCGGTAAGGCTCCGATAAAAGAGCGCATCGCCACATATGCTGTATTCTTTATCACACAATGTATGTACAGAATATTTTCCTTGCATTCCTGCCTCTCGGGCAAGCAAGCATGCGCATGAGACAGTCTGCTTTGGCCTTATTTGGATATGGTAATGAGGAGCCTGAGACCGCCAATAAGAAGAGAGTGTATATACACGTGACACTGCAAGACCGCTTGGGAGGCGGGGTCAGGCGCGGAGCTTAGGTTAAAACCAGTGGACAAGACACAGCGCATTCAGTGTAGGGAGAAGCAGGGACTCACTGTGAGGGGGAACTTTGTTACTATGAAACTTAGGAATATTTACAAAATATTGTAAAAATTATCAAAATCCCTCGTGAATCCATAACCTGCCCCTAGGGTTTGAGGTTTTTAGTTTAGTTCGCCCGGAAAGGGCTTCTACACTCACTATTCTTACACTTTTTTGAAAGAATGTGTGAGACAGACAGTTAGCCAGCTAGCTAGCTAGCTGAGAGGTGATACAGGCGGCAGGAGAACAAAAGATTTTTTTCCGTTTTGGCCGGTTGTACTGACACCAAGTCCATGCAGAACGTGTCATTACCATCACAATGCCCGTTTTACTTTTTCTGATAGACACGTCCGCTTCAATGAACCAGCGCACCCATCTGGGCACTACCTATCTGGACATAGCAAAAGGCGCTGTTGAGACTTTTATGAAGGTACTGTAACCACGGGACACATTAATATTGAGAGATCCCGAGCGGGAATGCAGTTCAGTTCATCGTTTTGCTGTTGCAAGCTCGCCTGTCAAAGCTGATCTCTCGATAACCGTAAATAATTCTCTACTATTTCCACAGCTCAGAGGGAGAGATCCGGCGAGCCGAGGGGACCGGTATATGTTGGTAAATTTTGAAGATGTTCCGTTCGGGATAAAGGTAGAGTTTGTTTTCGGGTCATGTCCGGCTTTACATTGCGCAGATTGACTGTCCTTCCATCGCTGCACCACGTTGTGATCACTACATCAACTGTGTAGAGAAAAATCTTCAGGAGGAGCTTTCATACCCCTTTTAAAACATGGCCGACATTTTGTTTCAATGTGAGCAGCAAGGAACTCTGGGTGTTATTTATACAGCGAGGTGATATCTAGGAGGGAGGGAGAGTAGAGGAGGAGGAGAAGCGGGGATGACAGACTAGCCTACTTTACTTCTTTAGACCAAATTGCCACTTTAGTCACTGCACACATTGCTACTTTGCGATTTTCTGATCTGGAGCCGAGCGCAGCAGCCTGGTAGAAACGGATCAACGTCCTGTGGCTGCAGTGCTGTCAAATTATTAGTCTGGGCAGATAGAGAGGAAGCGACCTATTTAGATATTTATTAGCTCAGACTCTCAATAAAACCAGTGAAGTTAACCACTAGTTTCCTTAGAAGTTGCCTGCTGGTCACAACAGTGGGGTAGTTATTTAGCTTTGTGCATGTTATTAACCAGCTGCTATGTTGTGTTTTGTTTGGGTTTGTTTTTTTTGTTTTTTTTAAAGGCTGGATGGAAAGAGAGCCATGCCACATTCATGACAGAGTTGAGGAACCTCCAAGCAACTGGACTCACAACTATTGGCCAATCCTTGAGGAACGCTTTTGATTTACTCAATCTCAATAGATTAGTGACTGGGATAGACAACTATGGACAGGTATGTAGCAATGAAACAGGTGGAGAAGAAATCAGGCTCATAAAGTGCTAAATGCCCAAACAGACCCACTTCACCCACCCACCTACCCCCCCTCACCCCACCCCTTTATGCTATCTCCCAGTCTTACAAGCATCAACCACTTTCATACTGTGGACCCACACATCCTCAGCCATACGACACAATCATGACAGCAAGTCCAAGCAGCAGGAGCAACGTAGCTTTCTTATTTTCTTTCTTCCCCCATCATTGATTAGTAACTTTAGTTTGTGTTACATATGTCACTGCTCTCATCAAGGACATGGAATTATTACACCTGTAAATGAGCTTTTAAGCAAGAAAATGCATTATGTTTTGAAACTCTAAGGATCTATTGCAGGCTCTGTCTGCACAAATATGCTCTGAAAGCTAGATGCTTTTTAAAAATATATATATATATAGTTGTATATAAACTAGTGTAGGCTTGTGTCACTTCAGCTTTATGGCCAGTTTGTTAAAATGCACTGGATTATTATAAGAGGTGGTTCTAATATTTATATCTATTATTTAGTTCATAAATGGTCTGGCCACTCTGTGGTGTGTGTGCACGTAAACACAAAGCTAAACATAATTTTAATCAAGCTGGGAGTTATTTTAGAGCTTTGGAATAAGACTTTTGCAGTTTTAACCAGGTCAGTCTAAATTATGTAGTTTCAAGCCTGTCAGAGGACTTTTGTGCTTTTATGATGAATCACTGGGCAAGGTGGTAGAGCGGGTCATCTACCGATCGAAAGGTCGACGGATCAATCCCCGGCTCCTCCCGTCTATGTGTCAAAGTATCCTTCGGCAAGATCTTGAACCCTGTTGCCCCCGATGCATCCATCAGAGTGGGTGTGCGTGAATGTTTGGTGGAAGTGCTTAGCTGTAGATAAAAGCACTGTATGAATGTGCGTGTGTTTCTGATTGGGTGATTGACAGATGTAGTGAAAAGTATTTTGAGTGCTCAAAAGTGAGGCGACAGGCGCTATATAGCAGTACCAGTACCACGGATCTGTACCATGATGAACATACTCTTGTGTTTTTATCTTTTGGTTAATGTGAATGCTCACTGATGCTGAGGTTGAAGACTGTCGCCCTTTTCTTTGTTTCGCTCAAGTCTGCTTCAAAAATGGGGATCCATCTAACAAGACCACAAATGTGAGGATATTGAAAAAAGCTCCTGGATACACGCTGACGGAAAAATGTGGTTTACTTTAAAATTATCGATGTTATTCCAGTTGTATTGTGCAGCTTAGAAAGATTTCCATACTGCAGCTTTACGACACAGTGGGCCTGATTTACAGCTGTAAGCTATTCACATAAAACTCATTCAGACTCAGTATTGCTAAGAAATATTCTCCAAGCCCACAAAGTCTGGAGCTAGTACAGCGTGATGCTGGCCAAGTTCCCTCTTCAATTTAAATCCAGTATTAGTAGCTAAACGTAGATTTGCATGATAAAGTTTCAGACCACCACTCTTATGCCAGCTCACTGACTCATGTGTAACAGATGTTCAGATCTGCCTTTAGCTGTGCAGGGTTGGACAAAGTGACCAGAGAAACTTGACTTTGGTTTAGTCTCATTAGAAAAAGAAAAGCTGAAGCCAACAGAAAGCATATTGCTTGCTATTCAGCATCTCACCTTCTTGAGATTTTCTCATCTCCTGGCCAGCGTTGAAACTGAAATGCAATTTTTTTTTTTGCATATGAAACAAAGTGGTCATTATTAATGTAAGCTGTGAAGTCTAGCCCATACCCAGTTAGAGTGGTAGGTGAATCTGCACGCTTGTGGTTGATACAGAATCTGGACATCTGTTTTCCTGTGTGGAGGTAAGTGGGGGAGTATGGGAGCAGTAATGAATGTTTAATTAGGCATTTCCTGAGTAATAAACAGAAGATCCCTACCAGCCCAGGTAATGCATACATGCAGCATGCATAATGCATGTCAGACACTCTTTGGTCGTTTGAAAAAAAAAAAAAATACCAGCGACACCGTCAGACTGTCCGATTTTGAACACACAAGCCAAGGTCGAGGTTACTGCGTCCCGCGCTGTCACTGCTGACCTCTAATTACAGGTTGATTTGACAGTGGCTATAATTTAATGACTAGTTCTCCCTCTTCTGCCTATTTCCAGCAGGAGGCTTGGCAATTACTAGTATGGAGTGCATGTATGTAGTTTATATATGCTTAGTATGTCCTTTACAAAAGTGGAGTTATTGTGAACATGGGCTGTAATTTAAAATGTGAGCCCAACACAAGTGTTTGGTACTCCTAGAGGATATTTTAACGTAACAAATGTGTGGGCAGGAAATGCTGGTAACACTAAAAGCTAGAGGAATCAATGAACTTGAGTCAAAATCTAAAAACCTTTCAGTACGTCATCTAACTGATTACACAAGTGTAGTGGTGCTTAATAACTCCCGTAAGCTGTTTCTGCTGTCTTCTGTTTAGTTACATTTCCTTTTAAGTGAGGGTTTACCATTTAACCAGAGAAGCGTTTCAAGGGAACTAGGAAGAGGGCACTTCCGCATGAAAACACATCTAAAATGACCGTGTGTGTGTGCGCTTTTCTTCTGTTTTCTTATTTAAAGGGCCCTTTGTATCATAAGTCAGTGCTCCATGTCGTCCAGCGGGTGGAGCCCTGGGGGGTTAACGGGGGGAGATGGGGGAGTTAATATTGCCCTGGAGTGCCTCAGTCTACAGTAACAAAGAGCGCTCCAGGTTGCCAGGCATCTGAAACGACTCTCCCCTGGGAGATGAAGAAGGGTATGGAGGTAGAGGGGGGAGACGGCCGGCGGGTAATCCTGACACTGATCAGTTTCATTAAGAGCAATGAAAGAGCAGAAGAAAGGATGAACGTGAAGAAATGATATGGCCAGTGTTGTTTGGTGGTAAGTTAGAGTGTCAGCTGGAGTGATGGCCGGCGCTTTAATGGATCTCCATTATCATGGCATTGTGGAAAGCACATCACAGTAGCGGTAGCTGACTGCATAGACGGGTCTTAAACATGATGAATTACCTATTATTTCTCCATTTACTAATGTAATATCTCATTATCATCATTAACCAGTTATAAGAAATGCCCACTGTGTTTTCTTCTCTTCGAAAGCACAAAGAGATGTCTTCAGATGACTTGTTTTTATCTTTCAAATTACCCAAAATATATAGATACTGTCTTGTCTTTTACATGAAAAGCAGCTGGGCACATTTTGAGAAGTTGTCAAAACGCTTTATTCTTACACCGGCTCCCCTGATAGGCTGTCGTCATGTGTCATCTATTTTTAGTAGTCGCATTTGGCTTTATTTAAGCACGAGTAAAAGCTCCGGCAGCTGATATGACATGGATAAATTCATCGCTTGACTGGCAAGTTAGCCCGATCATCAAGTCAGCATGCCAACTAAGTGCTCGATATCATGAAGGAATTTTTGAGGGGGGGTTGCCAGGTTGTCATGGATACCTGCAGCACAGTGGGGTCTTGGTCGTATCCTGCTCTGTTTACTTTGGGCCGTTTATGTGACTGGACAGATGCATCATTCAGCAGAAAGCGCAGCCTACAGGTAGAGCCCAAACAGTGTGGCTCCACGTCCATTAATAATGGCTCTGCTGTCAGAACAGGAGGCCCTTATGGAGTCACTGTGACTCTGCAGTGAAGTCCGGTTTGCTGGCAGCACTTGTCAGTCTTTGTTGAGGGTTTTTTTGTTTTCTTTTTACGCTATTACCTCACCTAGTGGCTCTGTGGAGATCCCACAAGGCTGATGCACAGTGATAAATGCAGTGCTGCTCCAGTTTAATTTCATCAGAGTGGAGCGCTGATGTCATGAAATATCATGGGGTCCAGCAGGAAAGAGGTTTCGTGTAGCTCCTCGGATAATGAGCTCTGCTGTTGTGGAGTATAGAGTGAACATATACTGCAGACACTAAATACTGAACTCTTACTCTGTTTGTTTTCCCTTTGAGTCAAGGTTTTCTATTTCACACGCTTCTTAAATATGTCCCGTGTAATTTATCTGCTGTTTGTAATGATGCATTCACGGTGCTTATTTATGCGTCGGATCGCAGAAGGCCATAAAGCCACACTTGCTAAATACAGGTATTAATGGTGATCACGTCTTTTGTAAGCACAGTTTTAACAGATGTGAGAACAGCCCCCCTATTTTTGTGTCTTGTTTTTTATAGCTTGTTTGTGTCTTTCTCATTTCTTTGTGCAGGGTGACCCTAAGTTGCCTCTGGGAGTCTGAATGCTGAATTAATTCGGCATGGTTTCGTTTTTCATTTAGTCTTCAATATGTCCTATTTTTTTCTTTTCTTTTTTTAGGGAAGGAATCCTTTTTTCCTTGAACCTGCCATCATCATCGCAATTACAGACGGCAACAAGTTGACCAGCAGCGGCGGTGTCCAAGATGAGGTCAGCCTGCATCTCCAATCAGGAGAGCGTTCTGTTTGTTTGGGTGATACTTTAGGAGTCTAACCGCACCACGTCAAACTTTACCAAACCCTCGTCCTTTGACTGTGATTAAGATGGCTAAAGTTTAAACCACAGAAGCTCTACTGTGAAGTGCTTTATCATATTGTCCACTCACATAATAACAAAGCTACTTTTCATGCTTAGAAGTGTTATCAGTAGCTTTGTTATTATAGTCTTAGAAACAGAGAAGTTTGATGTACTTACTTATTGATTAATCATTTGGTCCTAAAACATCAAGGAAGACAACTTCCCCAGCTGACACATTCAGCAGAAAAAAAACCAAAAACCTTAATTTATTCTCATCAAAATCTAAAAATACCAATGAAGAGTCTCATTTGTGTCCAACACCAGTAATATTTTTGGCATTTTTATTGAATTTATTAAAACAGCTACTTTTTAATCATTGATTGCACTTCCTGTTTTGACTGATTAAACACTTGATCTTGAAAATGTAGAAAATAAAGAAAAATCATTGCTCAGTATGAAAATGCACTATTTTTTTTTCTTTACAAATGCAGTAAACAGTCATGTTTTCAACCTATGCAAACAAAAATTATATAGGCAGTTACTTTTAAATTCCTTTAGCCCAAATTATGACAAAGGGTATAACTGCAAGGTTAGAAGTGCGAGCTGAGCCCTCCGTGCCACTGTAAATGAAGGCACTTTATCAATACCGCCGTAAAAGTGTTGTTCATTTACTGCCCAAGTTTCCCCACAGTAACCTAAAACAAACGGCGATATTAGAGAGAACAGCAACACAGTAAATCTGTTCTAACGCAGGTCTGTCATCTCATCCTGTGATCTGTTTCATTGTCCAGCTACATCTACCTCTGACCACGCCGCTGCCGGGCAGCGAGCTGACGAAGGAGCCGTTTCGCTGGGACCAGCGTCTGTTTGCTTTGGTGCTACGTATCTCCGGCAACACTTCGGTGGAGCCCGAGCCCCTCGGCGGCGTCCCGTCTGACGATTCTCCAATCACCCCCATGTGTGAGGTCACTGGAGGTAGGCGGACTGATACGAGCTGCTGGTTGTTGTGTACTTACAGATCAGCTCTGACAGGCATTTCTCAGCTTTTAAGTACACTCGGTTTGCCTTTTGTAGCTCTGGAGTTTATGTACTGATTCATATGCTTTATATGCCGAAGTTTCAAAGATGATTTAAGAGCATTTAAAGACAGGACAGGTTTTATGGAAGAGCTGCACCATGGGTAATGCAGTCTGAAGTGCTTGTCGGGTACTTCACTTTAAGTTGGTGATGTTAAGGAGTTGTTGTTTTTTTTTTTTTTTTTATTATTATTATTGTATCACGCATGGAAACATAACCAGCATACAAGGAATTACGCAATTAAACAAAATAACATAAGCCAGGTAGAGTAGGCTGTAGACATACATTTTAAATGACAGCATGAACAGCCTAAGATTAAGAAAACCATTTTACTGCTTCAGTTTAGTCTACAGAAGTAAAAGCTCCTTATTCTGAGTGAAAAATAAACAGATCAGATGTTTTCCTCTTGGAAGTGTCAGAAGCTTAAATTTTAAAGCAGAGCCCACTTCAACAGGGGACAGCCCTGAGCGGTGTCTAGGCACTGTCTTGCTCAATATTCAGAGTTGTGTTTTAACAGCCCAATGCAGCTACACTGTGCTCTTATTTTAACCCCTGCTGGAGCTATTGTGGAAGGGTTAAGTGCTTTGTTTAAGTGTACTTGGGTAGTAATTGCTGATTAAGGTTAGAATGACTAGATTTTCCCACCTGGTCCATAATCGGACTGCCTTTGTCCTGCCTAAGTCCTGTCAAGAGACTTTCTAGCCAGCGATTTTGATCTGTAATCCCCCCATCTCCAGCCAAAGTCCGGCTGCCAGAACATTCACTTATAGAAGCAGACTTTTATCCCCTCTGTCTCCATTCCTCACGTAGCTTTGTTTTGGAAGCAGCTGGCAGGAGGAACGAACTAGAATGATGCTGATGGCAGGTTAAGATTAACCCATGCACACATATAGAGAACAGAGGACTCCAAAGCTGCGTGTCGCAGCCGGTGGCGCTGAATGCAGAACATGACACAGGTCCATTGTCAGCGGCAGTCTACAGTACATGCTGCCTGTCCATTACTGCTGATGGCAGACCTGACACAAAGCCACAGCCTATTGAAATGAGCGAGTGAATGGGTGCACAACAAGGTCACTCGAGGTGAAGTTGAATGACAGGAAGGCTAAGTTAGACTAGTCAGTTGTAGCTTTGAAAGATGGTTTTTCTGACTTTTTTAATTTTACACATGCGATTGATGGCGTGACAAAAACAGCAAAGAGAGATTTTGACCTTTCAGAGTCACATTTCATGCAAATGCACTATTTGCATGTAGTGTAAATGGCTGATATGGCTGCACAAAGATGAGCAATATGTAAAGAAGAGAGCTCTTGAAATTGCACTGCACCAGTAGCAAAGCACTTCATAAACAGTGTAATGTAGTGATCCTTCTTAACCCCTTTTATTCTTGTTCATTTGATTTCTCTGACATTGAGGTGCATTATATAAACACCAAACTGCTGCTGCTGCAGTTTTTGTTCTTTAAACACAAGTTTTAGTGGGAACTTTTAATCCTCTGTGTCTCTATCTGTAAGTTTCGGAGACAAAGATTAAGTCTAGTCCTAGAATGAGTGAAGAATTCGATGAAGCTCTTCATTGGAAAAAGGTCCGAGAAATCTCAGCTCAAGTTATTTATAATTTTTGGTTAATTGTGCTACAGTCACACCAGAGAAATCAGTTACTGGAGACTCCGGCATGACTAAAATTATTGCATGCAATGAACTTGAGATTGTGTCTGAAATGGTTGCTGCTAAGACGAGGTGTACGAACACTTCAAAGAGACTTTGGTGTGTCAACGTAGAGATAAAATGTAATAAGATGGAGTCGGTCTGCTATGAGTTTGTGACTCAATGGGTTGAAGTTAAAAAAAAAAAAAAAAAAGACACACTGCAGACAAGTTGCGTTCATTGTTGCAGACTGACTCGGGTTGATGCAGTCTGTCTGCATCTATATTATTTCCAAACCTTTGTCAATCTCTCTGAGATTAATTGCAGTCAGCCCGAGTCGGAGCGCAATTGTTTGGAGACAAGTTGCATCCCACTAAGTAACCTGTGCGATCACCATGTGTTTGAAAGTCATCACCCAGAGACTGAGGGTGGTGCACGTTCGACCTCTGGACGAGTTGGTCGCCAAATGCAAACATTTCAATGAGATGACCCAGCAAGTAGCAATTTCTTTTTCCCCCTAGTTTCGGTTAGATTGTTTTCCTATTTTTACCCTGGCACCAATCAACAGAATTATCAGACTTCTGTATTTTCCCTCTTCTGACTCACAATTTTTTATGGCTCATTTAGTCTGCAATTCAGTCTTAACCCTGTTCCAGCAGCAGCATGCAACTTTTAGCAGACAAGCTCTAATAGACCCACTGTACACTGTCTGACCTGCACCAAACAAAGCAAAGAAGACACAATTAGAAACTAGCTTACGAAAAATGTGGAACATTTAAAGCCAGATGTTATTTCTTAATTTGGTTTCTAGTATCTGCTCTAAAAAGTACAACAAATTATTATTAATTAGGAGGGGGAAAAATCACATTATAATGTCAGGATCTAAGTGGGAGGGTCTAAATAGACAGCTTTTTGCTAGGAAATTGACAAAATGTGAAAGCATGGTGAAAATGCATCCCGTGTTGTTTCTGCTGCTCCCAGTTGGCCCACAAATTCTATTAATTAAGCTTTTAAACGGCTAAACCAAAAAACATTTGAAATGATCCACAGTCAACCAAGGAAAAACGTTTAATTTTAGCAACACCATTGACTCGCTCGTGTTTTGGGATATCTATACTTACAGACGTGTGTCTTCGTTACAGGTCGTTCTTACAGTGTGTTCTCCCAGCGTATGTTGAATCAGTGTCTGGAGTCTTTGGTGCAGAAAATCCAGAGTGGAGTAGTGATAAACTTTGAGAAGACGGGACCTGACCCTCCTCCGCTAGAAGGTAAGACACACCTCTGTTTGTTTGCTTTTGGGTTTTCTCAAGTTGAATTGTCTTTTATTATAAAAGGAGCTTTTTGACATGTGCTGTGCTGCATGCGTTTGATTAGTAGAGAAGCTCTTTGCTCTCTCCCACTTGGTGTTTGTTTTAATCCATTCTGAGCTTTTCTTTCCTGTTTTTTCATAAACATCTGGTGGGTGTCACTGTTTAAACTCCTGCTTTCATATTTAACTGCTGACACACTTGTCTGATGCATTTTGTTTCATGCTGCATTTCATAAACCCCTTGTTTTTTGTTTTGCTTTGCTTATATTCCTGCACAGACACTCCAGCTGAAGTGGTGAAGTCTGGTCCGCAGCCTTGGCACTGCTGTCACAAGCTGATCTACGTACGACCTAACCCTAAAACTGGTGTTCCCATCGGGCACTGGCCCATCCCCGAAGCCTTCTGGCCAGACCAGAACTCCCCCACATTGGTAAGAAAGTTGCAGAAGAACCGACAGAAATATGAGATAAGAAACCGGTATCTGTCAATTTATGCAATACATAATCTGTGTTACTGCAGCAGATTAATGAAATGACAACCTAGCTTAGTAAAATAAATATAATGTCACAGAACAAAAGAGCCCAAAAAGGTAAAAATAATATTAAAGAAGAGACTTTAAAGCCCTATAGTTCCTTTCTTGTATTTATATATTGGACAGTTTTACTCTTGACAGCAGAATACACTTATAATTCTATAAAACTTAACAAAGATGTACTTTATTCCTAATTATTTTTTAATAATATAAGTCTTAATAGCCAAAAAGTGACCATATTTACAAGACTGGTATAGTGTTATTAGCTACGGCTAGCATGCTTGCTTAGCATGTTGGCCTTAGTGGTGTGCTAACCAGTGTCTGGCTAGTTTTATGGCTAATTTGTGCTAAGTAACAGACTAATAAGTTTTCAACATTTCACTCTCTCAGGAAGTACAAACTTCCTGATAAATAAAATACTTCCTTTAAAAATGCTCTTAAGGTCTCCAGCAGCAGAAAACATCACCCAGAGGTTCAGTTCATTGACTTATATTAGCTGAGGTGAGGCCTAGCAAACAAGCAAGTACAAGAAGACAAAACTCTGTAATTTTGTTATGAAGGGGATAAATGGCTACAGGGTTTGTTTGTTCTTTTTGTTTTTTTGTTTTAATTTTGTATCAGGCTTTTGTAGATGTCATAATTTAATTGCTAACACTGGTTATTTTAGTGGGAGTCAGTGGGGACTGACGCTCTTTTAGAAGCAGCCTGCAGTGATACAAAGTAGCCGTATGCTCGATTATGAATCTTAAAATAGAAAAAATGTGAGAACAATAAAAAGAAAGGCACTTACTAAGTTTATTTTTTCATGTTTATTAAAAGGCAAAACAAAATCCATTATAGCTGTAATGTGCCTTCAGTGGCCATTAGACGATAACTCCTCCACAGGAGTTACAGGATTCAGCCCCACACATTGTCACTTTCATTAAACAACTTTTCTTCTTCCTGTTTGTTTAACAAGAATAATCAGTCACACTAATGTAACAGTGCCACACTCTTATTAACTTTAACCATTTATTCCATAGCAAACAATGACTAACTCGTGATAACACAGGGGTGACGTCAAACCGGCTGCAGTGATGTCACAGCTACACGAATGTGCAACAGCCCAAGCACAGATGAGCTGTAATCAAAATTAAACAAACAAAGAAGTACTCATTATGATAGATCATGCATTGCATGTTAGCTATCATTCATAAGCTTTTCCTCTGCTCACACATATACTCTACACTTTCAGTAGAAATAGAAGCAGCAGCCAGACGTGATTCTTTTTTCCCGAACTGTATTCAGACGGTCAACTTTGCGCATTGCTTAAACTTAGCTTATATTAACAACACCTACTGGTGTTATTAGGCGCCAGCAGGTGTTGTTGATCTTCTTTAATATTTACCATAACATTGTGTATCTCTTTCTGTGTACCTTCCCAGCCTCCCCGCTCAGCCCACCCCCACGTCCGTTTCTCCTGCGTGGATGCTGAACCCATGGTGATAGACAAGGTACCCTTTGATAAGTATGAGCTGGAGCCGTCGCCCCTCACACAGTACATTTTGGAGAGGAAATCACCGCACACCTGCTGGCAGGTACAGCACCATCACAGAAACCACAGAAAATAACAGCTGTTGAGAAGAAAGTTTGGCATTAAAGCAGAAATCTGTGTTTTTAATCTTTACGGCCAGGTAGACAAAGAGGATTTTAATCTCTCACACATGGAACGTGTTACATGCATCCTAACAGTGATAAGTGTGATAAGTACTTGATTAGATGTTCAGACATATTGAGACATTGATGTGTGGTTTCAGGTTTTCAGTGTACCAAAAAAATAAATAAGGGTGGCAGCAAATGAAGCGATGATTCGATAGCCCGTCGGCATGCACAGACTGAGCTTTAGCACATGTGATTAGATCGAAACATCTAGTCTCTGCTGGTACCCGCACACCAAGCTTTACCTGGTTTGTGGCAGGAACCTGAAAGTAAAGGTTGTCTCTGTATTCATCACTCGTATATTGATTTTGGTGTTTTTTCCCCATGTTTGGCATGAGTCATCATCAGAGATGAGGTGGCAGACTTTCAGAATGACTTTTATATCAGCAATTACAAGAATCACGCAGTGAAAATATTTTCCTGACACTGACCAGATGCAGCGTTATGATATTGTAGGGCTAATAGTAAGTGGTAAGCAAGGAAGTGAAATTTACTTCTGTAGGATATTTAAAACCAAAGTGGCTTTACACTAAAATAAAATGAAACCTAAAAACAACTCGGACAGCATCAGCTGGTTCTGTTTTTGTTTGCTGATTGAAAAGTTCAAATGTCACAACTCACTTCCTGATTTTTCTCGTTCTGTTTTTTCAGGTGTTTGTATGTAACAGTGCCAAGTACAGCGATCTGGGGCAGCCGTTTGGTTACCTGAAGGCCAGCACAGCTCTAAATTGCGTCAACTTGTTTGTAATGCCCTACAACTACCCCGTACTTCTTCCGCTTCTGGGTAAGACCTGTGCATCCACCTCATTTTTACTCTCGCTGTAGGTGTTGATGGGGAGTCTTTGTTTTGGGCTTTAGAAAATTTAAACGATCTGCTGCAATAGCAAAACAAATGACTATTTTTTTTTTTTAATTCAGTTTTCTTAATAAAACATGTTCCTAATTATTGAATTTCTTTGTGTGATCTGTGTTTGATTGTTTTCCACAGATGACTTGATTAAAGTGCACAAGTTCAAGCCTACCATTAAATGGCGACAGTCCTTTGAGAACTACCTGAAGACGATGCCTCCGTATTACATTGGGGTCAGTGGCCTTATTATCACTCTTCAACTTTTCATTAATGGCTTTTTTTGTGGTTGTTGTTGTTAATGTACAAAGCTGTGCCTGCACTGTTCTTACTGCTGTGTTATTCTCACAGTCGCTAAGAAAGGCTTTAAGAATCATGGGAGCACCGAACCTGCTAGCTGACAACCTGGAGTATGGTCTGAGCTACAGCGTGGTTTCCTACCTGAAAAAGCTCAGTCAGCAGGTTAGTTGTTAATATTAAATCTACTCCACAAAGCTGTGCTTGTTGCAGTGTCTGTCAGTTGTCAAGCCTTTCTGTTTTCACTAAAGTCCACACTGATGGATTTTTATAGTGTAATTTGTAGTTTTGGATTATTTTGGGGTTTTTTTCTAGTTTTCTTAATTAAAAAAATAAGAAAAGAAAAAAAGATAAACACCAGTTTAGTTCAAATGTTTTATCTCAGTTTGATTAGTATTTTAATATCTTAATTTTGGTTTAGAAAAGTAACTTTCAAAGAAACCTGGTTTTATCATGACATTTTTATACTCACTGGTCGCTTTGTTAGGGATATCTGTTCAGTAAGGGATATATCTAATCAGCCAATCACATGGGAGTACCTCAGTGCATTTAGGCTTGTAGACGTGGTCAAGGCAACCACTCATTATTATCAGCGTGTGCAGAAGAGCATCTCTGAACGCACAGCACGTCATACTTTGAATCAGATGGGCTACAGCAGCAGATGTCTGCACTTGATGTCTCTCCTGTGGCTAAGAACAGGAAACTGAAGCTGCAGCTCACATGCACTCACCAAAACCGGACAATAGAAGATTAGGAAAAGGTTTCTTGGTCTAATGAGTCTCTATTTCTGTTGCGACAGTCAGAATTTGACATAATCAGCGTGAAAGCATGGATCCATCCTGCCTTGTGTCAGTGGTTCAGGCTTCTGGTTGTGGAGTGATGCCTGATTTGGACTTCTTCAGGGAGTCTTTGTAGAGCCTACAACAGAACTTACATAAGTGGCTGATGTCATTGCCGACATTTATGCTCGTGTGTCCCGGCAGTCTCCCTCCAGGAATTTGCTGAGATTATAGTCCTTATATTAATGCTTTGATTATTAATCCTTACATTGAGATGACGATTGTTGTGAAAACTCAGCTAAAAACTGCACAGGAGGAGTCGACTGCGCCAAGCAGCCCAGTCATAATAGTTGTGGGTCACGTCGACCTGGCATGTTGTTATGTTTTTCATGAGGTTACGCTCTAGATCATAAATCCTCTGTAATGGTGTAGGAGATGTTTTCTTGGCTCCCTTTGAGCCCGTAGTACCAACTGAGCATCGTTTAAACACCACAGCCTACAGGAGTGTTGTTGCTGACCATGTCCATCCCTCCTCCTGACAACACACAACCTCACAAAGCTCAAAACATCTCAAACTGGGATCTTGAGCATGAGTTCACTGTAATGGCCTATTTGCATTGTCCTAATTTTCTTTAGCATTGATTAAAAAGTTAAAGGAAAAAAAGAACAAATGGCTTTAAATAGAAAATCGATATCCACGTCAGTCAAATCATCTTCTTTCATTCATTCACTTATTTTTACTGGGTGCTTTAAATTGCACTCAAAAGACATGACAGGCATTTGCAGAGAACATCTGTTAGCACAGTTATACTTGATGAATAGATGAACTCAAAATGCTCCACTAGATTTAGACTTTGCATCAATACACTGTCAACTGAAACAAAGTCTCTTGGCTGAGTGGGGGGCAGCTTGTGTACGAGTCCACGGGCTGATAAATCATTTTGTGCTTTGTGCTGCTTTTCTCTCTGTGTTCAATTCTCTGTCAGCGGCTACATTTTATGACGAAAGAACAAAAATGTTTATTGTGTTGGAAAGTGTCACAGCGATACCATCACATCCTTAATTTCTAACTTGCTGTTATTTTAATGGTTATTTGGTATTAGGCACCAGCTGTTTTTGTTGTTGTTGTTGTTTTTTTAATGCAAATATGTTTTATGCTATTACAGCTGTCTTTCCTTGTGTCAGTCGTTCTTTGTACAGCAGGATAAACACTTATAAAGCAGCTTATAGCTTTGCACAGCTGCATTGTAATGCATTTTAAATCCTATCTTCAGTTTTACGTGTTGCTTATTAAGTTCCTGCATTTCCTTTTTTCCTGCTACAATAATCAAGACACCAAATAGGAAGGCATTTCTGACCAGAAAACCTAATTTCCTCATATTTTCAGACAAAAATCGAGTATGACCGTCTGATCGCTTTGATTGGGAAAAAGCAGCCACCGGAGCCTGGCCTCAAGGTGCGATGGCGAGGCGGAAGTATATCTCTAGCCCAGCGTCGGGACTTCATCCAGCAGCTACAGAATCTCACAGGAGAGGCCCCAGCCCTGCCCATGGAGCTTAACCCCAAAGAGTTTCAAGGCTTTCATCTGGCACTGCTCAACAAGGTAGGGTTGGATTATTATCTGCATTTCTTCAACATGATCACATTCATCATCGGGAGCTGTTCTGACATGATTACACGCATGAGCATTGGTTTTTACTGTTGAGCGACTGTTTAGATTCAGTTGGCGAGGAGTTCCTTTTTGAAATCTCACTCTGTGCTCAGATTCTTCAGGCTTCTCCCCAGCTGCCCTCCTGAGGCTTATAGCATTGCTGTGTTTTTATGTAGTTGGTTTGAGCACTTGAGGGCTATTGAAAAATGGTCCACGCTCTCAGAATGCATCTGTATATCCACTCTCCGGTGTCGAAACTACAGCGGTGTTTCTGTCTGCTGTCATCCTCAGAGCCTGAAGCCTCAGAGTTTTAGGAATCCGTACGACATCCCCCGCAGCCACCTGCTCGACCAGCTCAGCCGAATGAGGAGAAACCTTCTCAACACCAGCGTCTGCACTGTCAGAGGCCACGACTCCGGTACCCCGCTGTGCAAATCATTTTCCCCACTTATTTGGCTGTGATTATGCTACGTTGTGAACATAATTTCAGCGTAAGAAGCAGGTTAGATGTATTGCTGTTCTTTCCATTTTTGACAAAGCATCTGTTTCCCTTCCAGACCAGCTCCACAGCGTGCCAATCGCCCAAATGGGAAACTACCAAGACTTCCTTAAAGCTGCTCCCCAGCCTCTTCGAGACGCAGACCCCGAACAGCCCAAACGGTTGCACACATTCGGCAACCCCTTCAAACTAGACAAGAAGGCAAGTCTCTTTTTTACTCTTCTCGTTTTCTTATTGGTTACATTGACAAATGTAAATTAACCACTGAAAAACACTCCGATGTACCATTTTCCTCACTTTCTTTACAGGGCATGATGATCGACGAGGCAGACGAGTTTGTGACCGGCCCTCAGAACAAGGGCAAGAGACCTGGCGACAGCAACAACGTGCCGGGCGGAGGTCCAAAGAGACGCCGGTGCATGTCACCTCTGCTGCGATTGGGTAGAGCCTACACCCCTCCAGTGTCCCCGTCTGCGAGCCCTCGACACTCAGCAGGTACGATCTAAGAGACAGTCGCACATCTTTTCTACTAATACTGTAATTCTTAATAATGACTGATGGCATGCTTCTAGTGCCGAGTGTACAACCAAGTGTACTGGCCTAATAATGATTCAGTGATTATGGTATCTTAAGAAAAAAGCACTTTTTTTTTTCATAAATTTAGAGAAATTGGTCAACAGAGGGTAGATTTAACACACAGAATATAAAACTCAAGGCAGGAAAAATGTGGGGTTATGGCACAACCCGTCCTACACAGCCGATCTGGATTACAGTGAATGTTTTTGGTTTTTTCCACCTTTCTGTAGACATGGACGTTAACGACGGTGCACCAGAAGCAGACCTGATCATCAACCACGTGGATCAGAACCACTACGGCTCAGACCGGAACTCTGACTCGGAGGTGGACCGTCCCTCGAGTCCCACCGACCTTCAGGAGAACCACACTGCTGCGGATCCTCAGGCGATGCGGCACAGGGATGAGGACGAGAACGGGCAGACCCATCCAAGCGAGCTGCCACTGGGCAGCGAGGGAGGAGCGGAGATGGTGCTGATGGACGACCAGGTGCAGCACTACATTACGCCTTCAGCTCTGAAGAAGCACATTCACACCGAGACGACGAAGGTCAACAATGAGCTCAGGTCGCTCATCACCAAGGAGATCAGAAAACCTGGCAGACGTATGTATCCAAACCTGGTCTATAGGCAGGGAGGACAAAATAATAGAAACGGAGAGCAGCTACCACTAACTTTAAAGAGCTTTTTTTTCTCATATGTAACCATGGTAGCATCTAAAAGTCACAAGTGTGATTGAATCATCACCTAAACAGAGATTCGAAGCTTCAGCTTTTATTGCAGGGCTGCTAAATTGAAGATGCTGCTTTGTATTTCATTCTTCCTCGTTACATCTTTGTCTTGTTTTTGTTCCAGAAGAAACCACATAAATGTGGTTTTTCATGGCACTTAAGCTTTGGTTTGTCCAGAAGCAAAGCTGTTTTTCTTAAAAACAAAGCTAGGAAAAACAGCAGGTATCTGTGTGTAAATTTAAAGAAGCAAACTTTTTTTTTTCTTTCTTTATCTCCTCTGTTGATTTGACCGTACACGTCAAACTAACATTGGACGTCACTCTGGACTTTGAAAACGTGCGGTGGAATGTTTTTTTTTCTAGTTTCCTTTATGAGTGAGAACGCCTTTTATTTTGTTTATTATTAACATTCAGCTGTACACATACAAAGATTTGATTCAGTGGATGTGCTCTCCTTGAATCGACTGAACCTCGTTCGCTTTGCTTTTTCTGTTTCAGACTACGAGAAGATTTTCCTCCTCTTGAAACAGATCCAGGGCACTCTCGACACCCGGCTCATCTTCCTCCAAAACATAATCAAAGAGGCAGCCAGGTACAAAGTTCAGCCCTCCTCCTCTGATGTCAGAGCGTTATTACCTCTCCCCTAATTTTTTTTCTTTTTTTTACTTAAAATGAGCTGCAAACAGAAAAAGGGGACTGTCTTTCTTTATAAGCTCTCTTAAAGTAAAGAGCAGCTGAATCCTAGCACCAGGATTCGGCATTTAAAACATCTGCAGTTTCACGAACCGAACAAAATGCAAAGAAACAAAAACGTATCATAATTTTCTGCTCATGATCTCCTTTGCTACAGAGTTGTTTTTAAAAGGCAAATGTTAACACGTGTCATTGCTTCTTCTTCTGCAAAGGTTCAAGAAGCGCGTTCTCATCGAACAGCTGGAAAACTTCCTCGAAGAGATCCACAACAGAGCCACTAACATGAACCACGTGGACACGTTCTAACGCGAACTCATTCCCAAACTGAACTTACTGGTAACCAAACCGGGCAACCCTCCACATCCCCCTCAAACCACCACTCCTACTGTACCAGGGGCCCCTGCAGAGATGAGACAAGGCGGCATCCAGCTCCCAAACCATCGCTTCTTCACTGGACTCCTTCATTCATTTAATGAGCATTATGCTTGTGTTGTTTGCACAGTAATCCTCAAAGACAGTACTGACCCTGAGTAATGCAGATGCATTTTTCAGACTTGCAAAAAAAAAAAAAGATGAGCGAGGAAGCACATATCGCTGCAGGTGAAGTGTGAAGGTGAAGGCCTATGCAATGACGTGTTTGTCCTGTGGACAGTTTGTACGGGAAGGTTCTCTGAACCCGTCCTCAGATGTTTCCCTTTAATTATTCAGCTCCCCTCATCAGATTTTTCTTTTCTTTTAACAAATGTGAGTGGTTATCTCTCAGACAGGGGTGCTGAAATAAACAAGGGCATTTCTGGAGAGGGTCAGATGACAGCCTGTGTGTGGATGTAATGTCACGTGACAGTGTGATTGGACTGATAATGAAGGGTATATCGGCACGTGTGGTTGTATTTTCAGACAACTCAGGGTCAAATGGGATCCAGGGGAGATGCTCATGAGAGACTTTGCTCAAAGTCACGATTCAACTTTATTTTATTTTTCCCCCCCATGGTGTTATTTCTGATTTGTGGAGGATAAGAGTCCGGCCGTTCACTTCGCAATTGTTAAAATTGACCTTCTGCTTTCCACCAGATGGACTGCTGAACTCTCGAATCAGAACAATTGGGCTTGAAACATTGAATCTAATAACGTGTAGTCTTCCTGGCAGACTGATGCTATATCAGTAGTAGCTTAACTTTTGGACTAAACCACCAGTTCCTGTTCCCTTTGCGGGGCGGGGGAGGGGGGCGGCGGCGAAGAAAACAGATCCACAACGATCGTTGCATCTGGAGACAGTCAACTTTAAAAAAACAAAACTGTCTTTTTCAAAGTAAAGTCGGGAAAAACAAAAAGCTCAGGAACTGACACATTAATGCATCACAATCAGCAATAACATCGGAGCCCTCCTCCCTGCCCTTTCACTTTTAGCCTGAAACAGCTGATATGCAACACAAACGTCTTGTCTGGTGGAGTGTAGATGAACCGAGGTGTCGGATGCCAGCCTGTCCCAGCGTGCTGGCTGCTGCCAAATAACTTAACCCAGCCCCTAAACTCCTTTTTCCGCCATGAATCTCAAAGCAACTTCTTACCACTTAAAAGCAAATGCACTTGTGTACATTTGAGAATCTTTATTTATGTAATTTAAAATGAAAAAAAAACAGCCTTTAAACTTTTTTTTTTTTTTAGGTCAGGCTTGTTTAATGTTCTCCAATTTACACAAATAATGTCTAGAGGTCAGGAGTTGATTTCAGACTCAGAGGGCAGCCCTCTTCCGCTCCCTCCCTCCTTGGACAGGGACCAAAATCTGCCATACTTGTCTTTGTTTGTGAAGAGGCCGCTACCAAAAGAGTATTTTGAATACACTGTAAAGATGTAAATAACCCTAGAGTACTATTTAAAGAGAATGTTCAGTGGGAAAAAAATGGCCTTTTTGTAAGTATTTCCATGAATAAAGCTTCTATTTTACACTGTGAAGGGCCATGTAAATAAAGTGTTCTGTAAACATGCGAGTCTGCCTGCTTTTATTTACGCACGTTGGCCGTTTCGGAAACGTCGCGTCAAATGGAAAGAGGATCGAAACACCGAAAGTGTAAAAACATTAAAATTTTATTTACAAATATGTACAAAAATAATGTCCCTCTTCCTGACGTGTCTGTGGAGCCTCCATTTGGTCCACAAATAAATACCAGTAGTGAAATGGGCTGCTGTAGAGGTGAATGTGAGTGGCGTTTAGGTTGGACGGTTTCAGGATGCTTGGTCTGCTGGGTTCATTACTCGGCCCATGAAGAGGATGGATCCTGAATTGGAAAGCAAATAAATATTTTGCATTAAAGGATCATGTGGAATGCTAGTTAAGCACTAATAATTATAATTAAAGAGATATAGGGAGAAATTGCACTGATGCAGTCTTTGTAGATCAACTTAGTGTGTTTTTTGATATCACCACTAGAGGTGGCCATATCAATATATTCAAATCCTTCACGATTGTTTGGAAAATCATGCAGAGAGCAAGACTGGCCTCAGATAAACAGAGGTACCCTGCAAAAACTATTGCTGTAATTTCATATCTTTATCCATATTCATGACACTCACTTTGTGACATGATCACATGAACTAACTGCTGCCACCAACCCAGTGATTGGTCTTTTCGTCCCTTGACGCTTCATGTCAAACTCTTGGCTACATGTTCCAGTCTGAGCTCAAGGGGGCTGGACCAGTAACGCCACTGCATCCTGAACTAATGCAAAATCCACAATATGCATACTGTAAATAAGCACGAGTTGGTATAGCTTACAGTCATACCAGCCCAATTTTGTTTATCTCAGAAGCTAAGCAGGGTTCGTACTTGGACTGGAGACTAACTGGGAATACCAGGTGCTGCAAGCTTTGCGAGCAGTTGTGCTTCATGCGCTAGTCTACCAATTGGAAGGTCACGGATCAATTCCCCAGCTGGTATAGAAAGAAGTGCTTGTACGACTGGGTGAATGAGGCTTGACGTAAAGAGCACTTTGAGTGCAGTTACTGTAGAAAAGAGCTATAAAAGTATCAGTCCATTTACAACTATGGTGTTTCAGACAAATAGATCTCTAAAAAACAGGGTGATTTCAGCTGCCTCCACATATACACAGAAGTATTTTACTTCTTTATGATTAATAAATTATCTGCAATTTTCCCACTGCAAAGCCAACCACAGCCTCCAGGTTCTGGCCCCAGTGGAAGGCTTTTGTTTCGTCGACCATACTTGTATATACGAAAACGTTACTCAAGCATAAGTAAATAGTGCTTTTGTTGGAGATTACATCAGACGGTACAAATCTGATTTGCAATACTGTGCCAGTTTTTTTGTGTTTTGCTCAAATGTTCAAAAAAAAGGGATAAATACCTGTTTTAATGTGTCGAAGCAGAAATAAGAAGGGTCGGTCCGCCTTGAAAACAGGAGCCCGGGATCTTTTGAGTAGCACCATAGCTGTGTGAGTAAAGAGTGCGTTTTAACAACCTTATATGATAAGCACTCATTATTGTTCCACTATTGTAACAGACATTACTCACCGGTAGCAGCAGCTGCCTTTGTTCCATCCTCTGTGACTTCTATTCTTACTTCATGGAAGGCATCAGACACATAAAGACCCTCCTCTGCTGGAGGGAGTAAAAAATATTGAGCAGCCGTTTGCATGAAACATACAAAAAAGCTTTTGAAACAGGTATTTTGAACGTACAAGCTGACCTGATATTCCAGTGAAGTCAGCTGCTGTCGGGTTAAAGGCGTCACTGACGCCCAGAGCAGGGAGCACCGACCTCAGGTTGAATTTGTTCTGCATTTTAAATCTGCAAATACCAGACGGAGACTATGTAATTTGCTGTTTTATTTCTCGTTTTTTCTAAACGAAACCTAAAGATGGTTTTCAAGCACAAAAGTCTGTAATCTGCTGCACCTCGGCAGGAAGATGTCCATTTTGGTTCTCCGCAGGCCGCCGTCCCAGGATGCCAGCTGGCGTGCAGTGAGCTGGGCCTCGAGGGAGGACAGCGGAGTCTTCCTCTCACTGGGAAGGACCACCTGCAGACTCAGGGAGCGGCCCAGGTACGGCAGCTGCAACACGGTGTAGCGCTGTTCTGACGCTGTCCTGAATTGACCTGCCAGAGAGGTGAACAAGTTCAAGTGTTTACAGTTTCCATCAGATCTTTTGGTCATTACATGCTTTGTTTAGCTCCTTCTTGTGGCTGCTGTGCTGGGTCTACAAACCTGTATTTATGTAAGCTTATAATATTGTAAACATACACATACATAGAAATAAACCCTTTTATTTTTTAACTAAAGCTTTTATTAACAATATCAAATCTGACGGGTTGAGTGCAATGACAGCAAATGATTGATGATGAAGAAATGGTTCAAAGTTCTTCACTTCCTTTAAAGTACACGATGCAAAAGGTTCTCATGAAAACAGATACGGGGCAAAGCATGAAACAAGCAATCCAAGTGATGATCGGGACTGCAATGCCAACCTAAATAATTTAAGAGTTCCAAATGTTAAAAGAAGTTTGGTCATCAGTAAACTCCTGAGGGGACTTTTAAGATGAGTTTCACCAAACTGCAGTGGTGTTTTGTCTTAGATACAATTATAATTGTAGCAGCAACAGCACTTTTTCAAATTTCTATCAGCAGACCACATGGGAACCAGTTGTAAACAAAACACTGATATATTAGCACCTCATTAAGGTTTAGCTTTTAAATGCATCTGCACCTGGAAACAGGGTGGGTAGATAAGAGAGTGGGTGGGATCTGAAGCCTGTAAGTGTCAGTGAAACATCGCCTCTTACCAAAGCTAACCTCTGCGGCCTGATACATCATGGGCACCTTGATCACATTCCCATCTGAGAGCACAAACGGCAGATTCTGGGTGTTGGTGAACATGAACTGCTTCTGCCAGACGCCCTTGAAGGCCACTGTGTTGACCAGGGCCACCTGCGGCCGGTGTCCCCACCAAAGAGCCTCTGCTTGGGCCTCGCCCGAGCCTGACAGCTCACCGCTGACGCTTCCTGCCAGGAGATGCCATGACTCATCTGAAACGCACAACGGAAGGTCAATGTACAGACCACCTGACCTACAGGCCATGTAGCAGATAACACAATCTGTAGAAATGTTTGAAAATGGGTTAGAAATTCATGTTTTTTCTCATAAGGGTTCCAAAGAAACCTCTGCTTTGAAAATTGGAATTAAAACTGCTTTAATATATTTTCTAACACCAGGGGGCAGAGGAACGCCACGAGCTAAAAATAATATCTCTCTTATGTTTTTATTGCCAACATATTAGGAAGCCGCTGCCCAGCAGAAAAGGATTGTCATCATCTCAGTGAAGTCAAGTTTTAGTTTGCTGTTGTGTGGTCAGTGTGAGAGGACTTGATCTAAGTGTGCTTTCACAAACAGGAATGCACAGGATGTGCATTAAACCAAAGCACTCTGAAAATCTCCACATCAATGTTAATTTTACTGCAGGATCCATGCCACGCTAATCTGTGTCAGCATAAGAGTAAAAGTTAGTGGGAGCTCTGTCTGGGTTACCTTGCTGGTGTCCCGCTCGCTCCGGTTGGCTGTGGGTTTGATTGGGCTGGCTGAAGTTGGCTCGGACCACGCTGGTGTTGGCCCACTCTGATGCAAGCTGTGTGAACCCAGGCAGGAGCTGGACACCACTCTGGATGAATAATGTGCAGGTCTGCTGCAGCCACATGCCCTGGCTGTTGTTGTTCATGTTGGCCTGGGAGTGCGACAGGAAGTCTTGTACGTGGGCATCTGCAGAAAAGGAAGACACAGATGTTTTTTCTACCCAGCTGTTGTCAACTACAGCCAGACGAGTTAGTTAGTTAGTTAGTTAGTTAGTTAGTTAGTTAGTTAGTTAGTTAGTTAGTTAGTTAGTTAGTTAGTTAGTTAGTTAGTTAAAATGATCTACACACAAGTCAAACACCGCTTTTCAGTGCTTGCTCTGAAAAGAAACCCTTCTGGAAACACGTCTTGCAATTCGAGCACCTTATTTGTGCACCTATTATTGTAGCTTTTAATGAACTTTCACTGCAGTGGTCACAATGGCATAAAGATATGCATGTCTAGAATCACACCTCTGGGGATTATATCTACAGCTATCTTTGCCTTGAATTCTCCCACTGATTTCAATTCAGGATTCTTTGATGACCATGTCTTTCGGTGTCGTGGAAATCCTTTTTATTTCATGATGGAAGCTAAATTAGAGCCTAAAGTCATCACTAGGAAGAGGTGGAGATAAATCCCCAGGTGTAATTTTCATTTTGTTTGTAAATTAAACACCTAACCTCTTGACCCAAAGGCCGAGCTGAAGAAGTCGTTAATGAGATTAGAGTTGGTGTAGAGGCAGGTATTATGGCTCCAGACACCACTATGCTCTGCAGGGCGAACAGCAGCAGGAGCACTGCTCCACACCACCTGGTACCAACAGCACTGAGGGCCACCCTCTTTCAGCCTCTTTCACACAGCATAAGGAGCCTCTAATGCCACCTGGATAAAAACGTACATTTCCATTCCTATATTTAAAAATTTTAAAAGAGGAAATATCAGAAACCTACCATTCACATTGTAGCCCAGTGTTCCCTCCAGCTGAGCAAGTGTGTTGCCCCTGGCGCCAAGCTGCAGGAGCGCGAGAGACAAGGAGACGCTAACTGGCGACACGATCAAGTTGGAGTTGTTCTCCGTCTCTGTGAGAGTCTGGTAGAGGCTGATGGCGAACCTGGTGTGCAGCTCCCTCATGCTGTCCTGAAGGCTGTTGTTGCAGTAGCTTCTCTCCACCAACCAGAAGCAAATGATGAGTGAGGCCACTGGCAGCCGACACATCTCCTCAGTGCTGCACGAGAGGATGTGTCCACAGGGTGCGACACGCGGACAAAAGCACAAAATTCTGGAAGATGAAAAAAAAAGAATAAAAAAAACTCCAATGCAGCAATGAAATCAAACAACATGCAACTATTTAAGGGTTTTATGTTTTATAGGAATGAGTGGGACACATTTTAACCACTCTATCCATCCCAGACAGGTGGGTCCGCTGGGATTCCTGCATCCTGCTTGTGGATCACTCAGTTATCAAATGTGGGAGCCTACAACGAGCTGGCATACAGCAAAGCAGACCTGCACCACTCAAAAAGGGAAGCTTTAATATTACCTTTTCATGATGCTCAGTGTAGTACTTTCTCCATATAAGGGTAAGCAGATTTGGCCTATCCTGAGTGAAAAGCTGTTTCTGGCAAGCTGCCACAATGAAATGATTTTCACATGTCAATACATGACTACAAATAATAACGAAACCCAGTTTAGTTAATGTAGGATTAATACTGCAGATTTCTCTCAAATAAAAAGTAAGATTTTAAATTTAGGACATTCCTTTTATTTGGAGATCAAAGTGTTGAAATGCATCTTTCTCTAAGAGGTAAAAGTAAAATATGTCAGTGCTGCACTTTTAAGGTACACTTTTGGATGGCTCAATGCATTTAACATGATAATTTTCTGTTGTGATGATAACTATCGGTGCAGCTGTGTGTCGTACCTGCGGACAGGTGAGGTAGTTTCCGTTCAACTGTTCTCTGACTGGACACAGACCATTCAGCCTCTGGAGCGGACCTGTGTCCTGTCTGTCCCCTGCCGTCAGTCACTGTCCCCCGGCTTCCTGTCAGTAGAGTAACCCCTCTTCTGCTCTCGGCTGTTAGCCTCTGGTTCAGTCTGAAGCGGTCTGTAGTCATAAGACCGTGTTTAAAGGGGAACGCTCCGCTCCGTGTTTGTGGTCTCCGTCGGCGATGTCCGTACCACTCGTCCGGGATTCCTACCTCCGCGGGGCTATAAGGAGCCAGGCGGAGGGAGGCATGTCACCGACCAGCAAATCCCAAACCAGGCAGAGAGGGGAAAAAACACCCACACACGAGTGCACAGAGGGGCAGGCATGCATCTGAAAATGCTACTGTGGAGACTCCTAATTGCTTACTACTAATAAAAGTCAAACACATTGAGGGATAAACCGTTAAAAAATGTATTATAAATAAGCTAGAGGCGAAACAACAGGCTGCTTAAAGCATGTGGCTTACGAATAGTTCAGCACTTTGGGAAATGAAAGTATTTCTTTGAGTTATTAGTTCTTATATTAGTAGTTAACATTGGTAGCTTTCATATTTGCCCTTTAGTGCAGCCCTTTAGCATAACTGGTACAATAAACAGCTAGCCTGTCTAAAAGTATAAAAAACTGTATGGCAGTAACTCTTTAAGCCCACCAGTGTTACTTTTATACCACACAAAAACTTTTATGTTTGCAGTAAGTTTCTTTCTGATTCACCCTAGCTTCCTGAGTCATTAGTTTAGGACTTTTTGTGTGTTTAGCGTTTTTATATACCTGTTTTAGGACAGTACATTATGATTGTCACAGTGGGGTTTAAGCTTTTTCATTGGCAGGTGTTTCTACAAAGGCAGCTCACTATTGTTGTTATCTGTACATGGACATGGCAGAGTTGGTTTTCTGTGCAGTACAGGCCAATAAAGAAGATTGTGCTCGAGGTCTGTTGCTTTATTATTCTGTTTTTAAGCACAGAGTGAATAAGCAAAAATACCTTCTACATCAATAAAGTGGTGCACGCTAATAAGCATAGAAAGTATAAAACATGGTTGAAACAGTCATGGATTGGCCTCCCCAGAGCCTGGACCTCAACATCAATAAAGCACTGTGGGACTGACTTGACAGAGAACAGAGCAAAAGACAGCCAACATCCAAAGAAGAGCTTTGATTGTCCTTCAAGAAGTCTGGAGAACAATTCCTGAGCACTAATTAAGTAAATTTCATGAAAGCTTGCCAAAGAAACTTAAGGCTGTGTTGAAAATAAAGGTGGTCTTACCAAATATTGGTATATACTGTATACCAATATTATATACCGTATTTCTGTGTATGTTTGCGCATGTTTCACAAGAATCACTGCACCTTTTCCCCATTTTCCTAGAAAAATATCTCAGCTTGCACAGTACTGTGATTTGATCATATCACATCGATCTTGAGGTTATAATGTTTGTGTAAGAGGCTGACTACTGCAAACACCTGCTTGTTTTTTTGAAGGTCACACAGACACACTCACTAAGACATCCATTCTGTTATACAAGTGCTTTGGCCTTTTGTTGTGATGATCAAAAGACATTTTTGCTTTGAGCGTCACACTACTGTGTCAGCATTTTTTAATTGGTATCGCTCTGTGAGATGTGGAAGCGTTGCTCCAACATGTGACGCATAACAGCATCTCAGCCTTCAAGAAACAACATTATATGAAACAACAGACTTTGAATGAGGTTTTTAAAAGTGTTTAGACATAATATTGTAGGGTTACAATGTAAGCACCTTAAGACAGAGAGAGAAGTCTTAGTAGTTATGTTATGAAACAGATTCTTCTTCCTCATCCTTATACCTACACATTACCTATGTAGTCTTCACATATGCTTACAGTATGTGTTCCATTACTAACATTCACCATGACATTATTATTGCATTTTGATAAAAAAAAAAACAACAACCCAAAAACATGAAGAATTGCAAATATTTGATCACGGTATGCCCTTTTTTTCACCTAAAATCAGTCTGCTCTGGAGTGATCTGCCCCTCAACTGTCCCTCTTAATTGGGGAAATGAGAGTCAGCAAAATAAATTGTGGGTATTTTTCCCATGAAGACAGAGCATGATTGGTAGCCATCAGGTATTTGGCAGCTTTGACTAACAGTGGATTCCAGCCATTACTGGACTTGACTAATTAGTGAAGCCGTGGCTTGGCTTCATTAACCAGAGTCAACGCATTCTTTAAAACCCAACTCTCCGACTCTAAAGGCAGGAATTTGGAATTTTAAGGACTTTGTTGGAGAACATGAGACATCACAGTGACTGACCAAAGACAATTCTTTGTAAAGATGCCACCACTGACAGCAGCTTTCATCTTGGTGGACAAGGGGCCTTTGGTGCAACACTATGTTAGAAATTCACATTGGTGAAGTAGAAATACTGGTTTGTACTCTCTACTTCTGATCCCTGGACATGCTACAAAGTGAGCTTCAGCGGCACTCAGAGTTCAAGATGCAGGTCAACTTACTCTACAGTGTTGCTGTAGAGTAACCTCCAAAGGGTTATATTCAAACGTTGATGTTTTATGGTGATGTCAGCAAATCCTCAAAAATGACATCTGGATTGTTTTCATGGCTCATTTGTGCTGATGTACAATGATTAACATATTGCTTTAAAGTTTGGGGAAAACAGTGAAAACTAAAGCTTTTTGCCTGTCATTTGACCTTGAAGCATTACATACTAAAATGGCGCTTGTTGCAGCTTTACAGTATGATTGGAGCAGAATTGGATTCTATAAGCTTTTTTGTAAGAGTGTTATACAGCTCTCTCAAAGTTTTTATTCATTTTGCCACTTGGTGTGATCTTGACCTTGACCCAAGTTTCACCAAAATTAAATCTGCTCGAGCTCTTATTGGTATCTAGCATCACACAGAGTTTGAAAATGATATCTTGAAAACTGTGGAGGCTGGACAGCTAATAAAGAGACTGATGGGCAAACAGACAGATGGAACCAAACACTGATAACACAGTCATCATCACTGCTCTTTGAGTAAGCAGCTACTTGGTCATTGAAGCGGCGCCCTTGCATGACAGCTGGCTTGTACCAGGCTACAGTGAAGACTATACTACAAGGCAAAGCACTTTAAGTCTTGCAGTTCTTATATAGACTGGGCCCAAGTGCGAACCCTAAGTTCATGCTCTGTCTGAAACTAGCCATGTTAGCTCTCTGTTTAAGCCAACTTTCTTTTGATTGGCTGTTGCTTGCTTGGTTTTTAATGAAGTGGTGATCTTGTATGGAAGGTTGTTTCCTCCACTGAAAATATTTTTGGGTTTTTTTTTTTTTTTTTGCCATCCATAAGAAAAAGATTTGGCTTAGTATGTCACAGTTGTGAGATAACAACTCAAAAATGTTATGTAGCTCTGCCTAGGTTTATTTATTTATATATTTTTGAGTGGTGGGAACTAGTTTCTATACTTTGAGCCCTGGGTGTCCCACTGCGCGACAAAGATGCCCAATCTACCTTGGACCACAATCCCCAAGGGAGCAGGCCAGCAACCGCGCCAAGACATCCAGTGAGCTACCCCGGAGTCACCAAGCGCTTAAAGATATCTGCTCTCTTTGACATCATAGAGATCAAAGAGTATGGAAAAAATTGCAAACTGAGCATTCAGAGCCTCCTGACACATCATTCATTCACTGACACACACGAACACACACTTTGCAATCATTTTCAGTTTCTCCTTGGTCACTTTATATCTCTTTGTGGTTGTTTTTCACCTATTTATGCAGAACTCAAATGTAGTGCTATGCTAACTGAAAATGTAGTTAATACTAGAGATGAAGAGAAGCTGTTGATTCCTGTCTAAAGCCACCATTCCCTGCAGATCTACCTGACACTCCTTTGCACACATATTATGTTATATAATAAAATTAATGATGTAAGAGGCGCTCCCTTAGATTCCTGGGCACATATCTGGTTGGTTTGTTCAGGTAACGATCCATGCCAACACCTTTCATGTGCACATGCATTCAGCTTTTTGTTTCCAAGAGCTTAGAAATATTCAGTGAAGTTTTTTTTCCTTCCCGAAAGCAGCACCGTTAGTTGATGAGTATTTGTGCAACTCTGTGATATCTCTGCCTTTCTCCACATAGCAGCAACTTAATCCCTAACTAGTGGAGGCTATCCCCAGGCTCTCCATTCATATCCTTCACTGCAGTCTTCTCTCCACCCAGTGACTTTTACCCTTGCAGGGAAAATAAAGGTCATCTGAGGTCACAGTGTAGAAAGCAATGAAGAGGAACTATTACAACTAAAATCAACACAAGAAAAAAGAAGACAATAAAATGAAGGTGACAAAGGATTGAGAGAAAGCAGCTTATATATAGTTGTAGAAATGATGTGACAGACTCACTTACTCTGCTTCACCTCCAGTGGCCTACTTCCCTTCGGGCCCCGGGGCCTTGGGGCAGTTCATTAGGATTAAAGGGGATGCGGGTGTGTGGGGCCGGGCCAGGCTGCAACAACGCCGGTGTCGCCAGAGCGATCTGCCAGGTACGCCACGGCGGATTAGAGCCAGTAGTGCTGGCACTGGGAGAGGGGCGACGTGAGGGGACGTGTCCCGTGCAAGCATCACCTCACGGGGACATGAGCGTGGCTCCGGAGAGTTATGGGAAAAATCTCGGTTTTACTTTTTAATTTTCTTTGAAGCACAAGAAATTGGAAGTGGGTGTGGAAACAGCAGGTACTATGTGGGAAACTGGAAATACCCTAAATGTTTAAGAAAGTATCCCATGCTGCAACAAAGAAATAAAACATCAATGACACAAAAGCATCATTTTTGAAGCTTTTAAGAATCAGACAAAGTAACTGTAAAGCAGCTGTAGTTGTAACTTTTAAAATCCTATTTCTGTTTCACTATAGCACCATCTGCTGCCAGTTAATATAATCTCTTCACAGCCTAGTCAGACATCTGTTAACATTAAAAAGTCATAGTGGGACATAATTAAAACGAATTCGTTAGGGAAGGCACAGATAATTTGGTATATTTATATCGGTTTGTCAGGGTTTGCACACCCGCCTAAGGTCACAAGGCTGTGTTGTTTAAACAACACCTAGTTGGTACAAAGAGTGCAAACAAAATAACCAGCCCAAACTGTTGATATAAAGAAGGATGAATCCATGCTTTCATGTTGTTTATGCCTAATTCTGACGCCACCATCCAAATGTGACAGCAGAAATTGAGACAGGCGTGGCACCTGCA